TAAGAGTGGGCATTCAAACTGGTGAAGCCCATCTAATCTACAGAAGTATGCACTTGGAGATGTGGGGGGAGAGGGTTGGGGGAGGAGGGGTTAAGACTAGAGTATAGGGGAGAATGGGGTAAGTTGAGCCAAAGGGATAAATTGAGCCACCCTTGTTTCTAGGAAACCATGCACAAAATGTATCATTTTACCAAATATTTAGGAAGAGGTAATCATTTCATGGAGTCTGTGAAGGAGGAAACCACATGGAAAAAGTGGTAAGCAAGTTAGGTCCAAAAAATTGATTTTCACTAAGTCAAATGAACGTATTGTGTTAAGAGGTTTCATGATGCTTGTATCTACACCAAAGTAGATAATTTAAAGATTGTTCTATACATCAGCTGGGGTCTCTATAAGCTTCTATATGAGGTCCTAAACCTAGCGTGAAAGTGCATCCTTGTGTAACTGGTGTGAAATGGAAGGCTAGTTAGCAGTGCGTGCTAGTAGCATTTCAATCTGTGATGTCACTCACTCTGAGACATTGAAGTAGATGATTCCCTTGCTATGCTAGGCTTTTGTGGAGCGATAGGTAACGATGCTTCGAGGGTGACTGTTGTCAATGTGTTCAGAGGGTCCCTGGTTCAAGCCCAGGTTGGGGCAAGGAGAGGGACGGAAGCAACACTGTTATATTGATGCTGTTGACCCGGATCACTGGTTGCTGCAGAGAAGGAGGAGGTCAAAGGGGGGTGAGTGTAACCAGTGTGAAATGACTAGCTAGTTAGCACTGTGCGCTAGAAGCGTTTCATTGTCGCTGGGAAATGAGGTAACAACAGTGCCTGGCCTATGTTAAAAGTGTTTTTTGTTTGTTAGGTGTTAAGCCTGTGTTAAAATATGCTTTAAATTATTAAAAGACAAACAAGTGATTGTGATTGTGTTGATTTGTGTTTGGGAAATAAGGATAGACCAGTGGAGGCTGGTGTGAGGAGCTATAGGAGGAAGGGGTCATTGTGAAAGCTGGAATGGTATAAATGGAACGGTATCAAACACATTAAACATATGGAAACCGCATGTTTGACTCCGTTCCATTGGTTCCATTTCAGCCATTACAATTAGTCTGTCCTCCTATAGCTCCTCCCACCAGCCTCCTCTCAGATAGACATGGTTTTAAAAAGGTAGTGGTAATATTTCATTCAGAACAGAAATGTATAGGCGGCTTAACTTACCCTGTCCCGCGGCACAACTGACCCAATACCAGGGGTAAGTTGTACCAAGAGAAAACAAGCTGTTTTCAAAACTGTAATGTTTACATGAATTCTGAATATTTCCAGGGATACACAACATCCTGAAATATATGTAGCCTAGATATCTTTGTTAGAAAGAATACTATATTACCCTTGACAGAGTGATGCTGAATGTAAAAAATAGCTAAACTTACCCCACTCTTCCCTAAATTACAGGCAGTGGGTAGGATAGATTGTGATAGCGACTGATGTCTGGCAAACCTATAGGGGCACTCTTCAAAAAAGCACAGTCCTAGATTGCACCTCAGGGAGCGAGGAGGACTTTGGTGCAGCTTTCAGTCGCAAGCTTATTTCTACTATCAGTCCATGCTCAATCTTGCAAGGGAATACATCAGTTCCTCGACTCGCCTTACCGTTAAGACAGAAATCCAGGTTGGTGAACTTTTTATCTATATTTTTCAGCTTGTTATATTTTTTTATTCTGGAGAAAATAAGAAAACATATAGCCTGCTGTTGTGGTAAATTGGAGAATGAAGAATAAAGGGAGAAAGAGTTGGATAAGCTATCCTTTGTTCTCTTTTGTTCATGTATTTGCATTCCTACCGGTGCGTGCATAGATTTTCACATTCATCATCTTCGAGTCATGATTAGCGTTTTATTATGTGAACGCTCCAAAGAGTCTTCCTGAGATTTTAACAATTTGTCTGCGCTATGAGGTGTAGAAAAAAAATCACCCAGAAGCATCAGGATGACAGGGCTGTGTGTGCCCAAATCAATTTATGTAATACATTAAAAAATATCAAGTGTAGAATAAGATGACAAATCAAGATTCAAGTTTAATAGAAAAAATACAAACATATTTTCCATCGTTCCTCTACACGCCTGTGGAGCCACACTAGACGGTATGGCTACATTAATGAACAGGGTAGATAGAAGGGAGTAGCGGGGGTATGTGGGTGGGGGGATGGAGTAACTGCGCTTGTGCCTTCACTGTCGATAATATATCGTTTTAAATCAGTGACTTCTATTTGTTCTATAATGACAAACATCAAAGACTGTCATCCATCCAAACTATAAAAGTTATACTTTTTACAATCAGGTGGATTTCACAGTTAACTTCATTCTGTAGCAGGCTAGGATGCCCGTCTCTCAGAGCCTTGCTGTGGCAACAGGAGTTGTAAAATTCTCTGCGCATTTTCCCTCATCGTAATCAACGTGTCTTTAGCCCTATTTGAGTTTTACGAGAAAATAACACATGGCTACCCCCGTAGTGTTTACAGTAATCTGTGTGTGATCATATTGCTGTAACTGGTTTATCCCTCACACCCCTAAACTGGTACTATTTCATCCCCTTGTCGCCTATAGGCTACATGTACTTCCCCAATGCGTGCACATTGTCATGTGCTTTTGGCAGATGTGTATTGAAATCTATTTTTGAAATGTCTGACTGTTTTTATTTTAATGTGTGTGTATAGGCAAATGGGCGGCAGGTAGCTTAGTGGTTAAGAGCGTTGTGCCAGTAACCGAAAGGTCGCTGGTTCTAATCCCCGAGCCGACTAGGTGAAAAATCTGTCGATGTGCCCTTGAGCAAGGCACTTAACCCTAATTGCTCCTGTAAGTCGCTCTGGATAAGAGCGTCTGCTAAATGACCAATTATAAATGTCATGTTAACCGATTCAATTAATTGAGTAAAATACATATAAATAACCCCCGCAATTGACTTCATTCGCATGCTATAGTGAGCCTTAAATATGGGCAGTGATTGGGAGGAATATGAAAGCCTGTTTATCCCATACCCTAGTAGAGGGGGAAAATCACTGCTCTGATATCAGCATGGATTGAGCTGTATAGCCTATAGCCAGCGCTGGCCTGGCGCATGGCTCCCTCTGTCCGCATCCCATCTTGATTGCCCCAATGCAGCACAATGGACAGCTCCTATTATGATCACGCCCGTGTGTGTTGCAGTTCAAATAAATATGCTATATGGCAGTCTCTCTCTCTCACCCATCTGACGAAAAAGCCAGATTAAATTCAACTATGTTTGTGACATTTTGGATATGATCAATCGAAGTACTTGCAGAAAATGTCATAGTCTATTGTTACGTTCGTGATTGGTTTTGCCGCAAAGAATAGCCTTTTTTGAGAACCGCCAGGATGTTGAGCATTTTCCTTCACTTGATACTGTATGTCAGGCAGAAGAAACCTGTAACCTGTAATCCTTGTTTAGTATATCCATTGCAATGGTAAATATTGATTTCTGTGACAGCCAGCCTACTGTTATTTTAAGGGTTAATTTAGTACTATTATCACCAAACATAATCTCTCAGATCACATTTAACTTCCAGTTCTCGGTTTTCTAATAGAGGGAAGGGAAGTTGAAGTATGTTGAAATCAGCTCTTCCTCTTACAAGCATGGCAATGGAGTAAAATAAACACTATTTTGTGAGTGAGACCAATGTGATAACCTTAACCCTACACACATACTTAAGCAAATAGTTTAGCTATATGTTTTTGTTGTCATCTGTGGACGATGCATACTACTACTACTCAGAATACTACAACTCAGTATTATACCATGGCATTGTTGAATACTCCTTTCTGATTGGCTTGAAGGGCATTCTAGAGCATGCATTATTTAGAGCATTCTAAAGCATGCTAAACTAGCAAGTCTGTTTGTTTGGTTACCATAGCAACTACTGTAGCTATCTAGTAAACATACTAGCTAGCTACTTCAGTGCATGTTGAACACATGTCTACCGGCAAATTAACACATTTCTAGTGGCAAATGTGTTAAATTATAGCCATGGTATAAAAGGGATGGTATAAAATGGATATTCAACTCGGGGCTCTATGGGTTCTCTGGAAAATAATGCAACTCTGTGGAAGGTCAGTTCCACTCCGCTAGCGCGTTGTGGAATACACCTTCCACATCATTCATTATTTTACATAGAACGCATAACCCCTCGTTGTTTATCCCTTACTTAATTCCCATGCTTTAGTGGTTGCAAAGTAAGAGGAGTGTGCAGAACAGGAGTTTGTGGTCTGCAAAATAACATGTTGTCTTATCCATGCTTACCCTGGCCTGAATTTTATCTAACCATTGCACTAAACGATAAACCAAATCCAGACCATAGCCCCCAAAAATGTATCACCAACCTGTCGTTTTAAAGTACTTATACCATGGCATTGTTGAATACTCACTTCTGATTGGCTTGAAGGGCATTCCACGTCGTTCATTATTTTCCAGAGAACGCATAGCTCCTCGTTGATTATCCCTTACTTATTTACAGTACACTAGATAGCTATAGCGGGTTAGCAGATTATACAATCATTTTCACCAGGCTTGTTGAACAGGTCCTAGTCATGCTCCATTGCCAGTGCAACAGTAGAATGGGAGGCTCACTTGACACATAATAATATTACCTAAGACTCCAGAGAGGGTGTCTTGTCCTGTTGTTTATACAAGAGCACTGGAGAGTTTAGAACTTGGAGTAGTTCCCATGCAGTGGTCGTTTGTTTTTTAGCCAATAGTATTTGGCAGAGTGTGGTCTCCACATTGAAATGCCCTCCCCCTTTAAAGCCAGACTGAGTGCTTTCTTACAACGGAGACAGGAGCCACTATGTTGGCATGATTGCAATGCCTTGCATTTTCTTCAGCTTTAACTTGGTATTGAGGTAATTAAAGGAAACAGATATATGTTATGCATAGATTATCAAATGCAACAACCTGTCACACTTGTTAAGAAATTCTGATTTTATGATTCACTTTTAGGAGACACCATGGGAGGCAAGCTGAGCAAGAGGAAGAAGGGGTACGATGTCAGCGACCCAAAGGACAAGAAGGAGGAGATTACAGCGGCTGCTGTGAGTGCCGTTGAGGCTGTGGCCCATGCCGTGGAGGTCAAAGCACCAGCTCCGGTCGCTGAGTTGGCAGCGAAGGCTGCTCCTGAGGTGTCTGCTGCGGTGGAGGGAGCAGTGGAGTCGGCAGCGGTAGCCATCACAGAAGCGACAGAAGAGGCCCTGTCAGCTATAGAGGCAGTGGCCAAGGGGGACTACCGCAGAGCCAGCGGCTGTACCAGATGAACCTGCAGCAGCACCAGCAGAACCATCACCAGCTGCAGCACCAGAAGAACCTGCAGCCCCAGAAGAACCAGTGGCTCCAGAAGAACCAGCTGCAGCACCAGAGGAGCCATCACCAGCTGCAGCACCAGAAGAACCTGCAGCCCCAGAAGAGCTAGTGGCGGCACCGGAAGAACCTGCAGCGTTAGCAGAGGAACCAGCCGCAGCACCAGAAGAGCTTGCAGCTCCAGAAGAGCCAGTGGCAGCACCCGAAGAACCTGCAGCAGCTGAGGAACCAGCAGCATCACCAGGGGAACCGGTGGCAGCACCAGATAAACCAGCGGCACCAGAAGAACCAGCGCCACTAGAGGAACCAGTGGCTGTAGCGGTAGAGCCTGCACCAGAAAAGCCTGCAGCAGCACCAAAAGAGCCTGCAGTGGAAAAGCCTGCACCAGAAGAGCCTGCGGCAGCACCAAAAGAGCCTGCACCAGAAGAGCCTTCGGCAGCATCAAAAGAGCCTGCACCAGAAGAGCCTTCGGCAGCATCAAAAGAGCCTGCACCAGAAGAGCCTTCGGCAGCATCAAAAGAGCCTGCACCAGAAGAGCCTGCGGCAGCCTCTGTGGAACTAGCCGCAGCACCAGAAGAGGCTCCTGAGGCTACAGAACAAGCCACAGAGGTGGCAGCAGAGATTACAGACACTACAGAACCTGAGCCTGCTGCTCCAGAGCCTGAACCAGAGACTGTTACAGGGGAGGCCCCAGAACCTGAGGATGTGGCCGAGGCACCAGTAGAGGCAGAAGCAGCATCACCAGCCCCGGAGGAGGAGCCAGCATCACTTGTAGAAGCCGTGTCAGAGTCAGCAACAGAGGCAACCGCAGAACCAAAATCCATCATAGAACCAGCCACTGAAGAGCTCCCCGCACCTGTAGAAGAATCTGTAGCAGAGCTTGAACCTGAAGCTGCTGATGCAGTAACGGAAAAAGCAGAGCCAGAGGCTGCCGACATCGCAGAACCCATCCCGGAGATCGTCATTTCAGAATCTGCTGCACCTGCAGCTGCAGAGGAGGCCAGCCCTGAGCCAGAGGAGGCTGTGCTGGACAACAGGGAAGTTGTTTCCGCAGAGGAGGCTGCTGCTGAGCCTTCTGCCCCTGAGGTCAATGGGGAGTGTCAGGAGCAGGCGGCCGAGCCGGCTGCCGTGTCTGCCCCGGAGCCACAGAAAAAGGAATGTGTCAATGGCATTGACAAGCCAGAGGATCCCGTTGAGGTGCAAAGTGACTGTGAATTTAAAAAGGACTTGAACCTGACTGGCGACATCCAGATTCCAGAGGCAATAAGTCAGGCTGTTGACTTGGTCTGAAGCTAATATAAATGTGAAGTCCCTAATGATCCAAAAAACACCTCCAACAACACAGGCTTCTGAAGATAAATATAAAAATATCTGTTGTGGCAAAGGAGTTTCTGGTTAATCAAAAGGAAATACAACCACTCAAGTGTAGAGAGGGGGAGTGAGATACATGTAGGAAGAGATGTGAGACATGGATGCAGTGTTGAGTCTTTGTGCCCCACATGTCGTTGCAGAGGGGCAGCCTGTGTTTGCAGCATTTGTGGTGAGATGAAAGCCAGCGAAAGTTGAGGGATGAGTATAGACAGACCGGAAAAAAAACTGGACAACAGAGCAAAAATGTGACATTAACGATGGAAATTATGAATGGAATGAATAGTCTTGTATTTGTGTGTGAGCCTGATGGATATTAAAAATGGTTTATTGGAATAGCATCCAATAGTGATCTAATTTAGTCTTTCACATATCCTTTCCTTAACTATATGAAAAAATAATAGATGAAAAGTTTTGGCCTTTAATAATGGTGCAAACAGTGAGGAATGTTCATTGATGGCTTGGAATGGAGAATAAAAAAAGACTGTTATACCTGATTGTTCTTTTGTTCTTATGTATTCTATATCAATTAGGCAAACGTCATTTGACACAGGGCCTTATTGTATAATGATGGGTCATTTTAGTCAATTTTAACATATTACAATTATTTCAACTGTATTTTAAGAAACCTTTATGATTGATTATAATAAGTAACCCTTAGTAAATCTAGGTGCAAACAATGGAGATCTATTAAAACTGATATTAGTCCAGTGCTTTCTTGTTGTTGGCTGATAGATTGAGTGCATCAATATCAGCAATAGGAGACATTATCTACAGAACATCATACATTTTAAACTTCTACAGTTACATACAGACCAGGTTTATTTTGGGTTTTGGATTGTATTACCTGTAGAACAACGTCCTTGAGGTCATTGGCCTTGCAAATATTTTGTTTTGTGGAGCTTGGCTTGCCCGTGTGTTTGTTTGAAAAATATGACCATGTTAATGCATGCAGACAGATCATTTCATAGGTTGTCGCTTCCTCTACCTTTTACATCATAATAGCCCATCTCACTGGAACTCCAAGCTGTGGTAGGCAGGCAGCGCCATAGAAATAGAATGAATAGAGAGGGCTTGGAAGCTCTAACCCTGGCAAAAGATGTGGTAAAGAGGTCAATGGAACTCGACCCAAACAATGGAAATGCCATGGAAACACGTGGGGGAAATATGCCGTGGGGGAAAGATCCAGAATCTCCTCATTGTCCCCCAGCAAAATGTACCTGCATTTAGGCTATTGTTTATATGTGTATTTCATACTATGTTGAGGTAAAAATCTGAATATAATGTTTGTATAGATGTCAACCCCAAAGCATTTTCATGCCATCGTCACCAATCAACACCATTGCAGTTAAAAAAACGACTTTGACTAACACCACCGATTTCTGTATGCTAGCTATGCTACCAGCTTATACGAACAGGAGTTAGCATTTAGCAGTCACTTCTACTAAACCAGAAAAGGAACAACTTCTAAATGTTATGCAGCAAAAACAGCCAAATTGGACTTTAATAACCACATTGTGGGCCTGTTACAATACATAAATCATGACAAATATCCACTTTGTTATATCAGATTTGTTGAATGTGCGCCAATCCAGCATCCTTCTTCTATCCCCTACTGTCTGTGTTCCATTGACCTCTTTACCGCATCTATTTGACTGGTAAACTCATGGGTATACATTTTACATTTTAGTCATTTAGCAGACACTCTTATCCAGAGCGACTTACAGTTAGTGAGTGCATAATTTTTTTCATACTGGCCCCCCGTGGGAAACGAACCCACAACCCTGGCGTTGCAAGCGCCATGCTCTACCAACTGAGCTACAGGGGATGGCTACCTGGTATTGTGATGCAATCATTTCCATGGCAATATGGAATGTTCTAAAAGAAAAGGAAAGCCGCACACTCTAGGAGCTCAGACAAGCTGTCTTCATCAGGGTATAATGACAAACACTGCGGGTCACTGGTTTATATAGTGTGAAAGGACACACGCAGGTGTCTGTAATCATGGCCGGGTGTAGCCTAATAGCATTGGCCAATTCACAAATAAAAACATACAAAAAACATGGATAGCATATGATCATAGATACTTACCTACATAGGCCCACAACATTTACAATGAATAGCAAAATCACAAGAATGGCTTCAAATCAAAGTCTACGTTGAGACCGAAGGGAGCAAGGGTCTTCAAATTAAAGATCCAGGCAGCCTCTCGCTTTAACAATAAGTTGTCGAGGTCACCCCCTCTCCTAGGGAGGGTGACATGTTCTATGCCGATATAACGTAGGGAAGAAATCGAGTGGTTCGATTCCAAAAATATGGAATGTTCTGTCAACTGATGCTGGATTGCCATGGTGATGGCTCATACAATATCATTTATTTTTTGTAATGTCAGTTGAGTTGACTCAAAAAATCACAGCACAGATTCAAGGGTACATTTCCTGCTTTTACTTCCTGGAGTGGGTACACTCAAAATGGCTGCCAGTCCACCCATTATGCCATCATTGACTTGAATGGGGACGGCCGTTCTATTCATTCTATTTCTGTGGGCAGCACACACACACACACACACATTTCAGAGATTGAAATGGCGAGGGGTTGGGGGAGGGGCATGCATTCTTGGAGGAGGAAGGGGCTTTCAAGGGGGTGGGCGGGGGTGAGTGGGGGACGAGGGTCTAGGATGAAAGGAAGAGCTCTGACGCAGCACAGAGGAGAACACAACCATGACAAATGAGCTAATCTCTCTTTTGGCTTGAGACATTTTTATACTGTTTCAGGGGCTGAAATTGGGCAGGGGGGTGGAGAGGGTGGAAGAGAAGGATGAAACGGCTGTAGAATGTCACTGGCAGTGAGGTAATACAGGTTTTGACACCTACTTCATCGGCCCTTGCGGAATGCTCCTGAGCATGGTGCTTGCACCTACATCTTAAAAGAGGCGAGAGGGTATCTGTCATGTAGGTGCCAAAGCACATGCATTAGCACAAGGGAGTTAAATGTTATGTGTTTGTGGATGCGCGTTGTGTGTGTGTTTGTGTGTGTGTGTTCATGAGTCTGTGTGTGTGTTCATGAGTGTCTATGGCGTATGTATATGGAATCTCATACAGAATTTATGGAGCGTGGGTCAAAGTCTGAGAGAAGATTCAATGTAGATATCAAAGGTTCCAAGCATCTTCCAACGGCGCCATAATGAGCTCCTCCACCTAGCAACCCTGAATTCTCGCTCCGGTTTCTTAAAGAAATACTCAGGCCCTCAGATGTATGAAAGGAATGGTTTTGAGAGCTGGGGGGTTGGGTAGATGGACACACTGGGTTGTTTTCTCTTTCCCATCTGAAGTGTTCTGTGTCAAATGGTTACAGTGTATATGAAAACAGTTTGATGAATTTCCCTATTTATCTCAGAAACGATCTGTAAATTATCATTATCTAAATCCCCCTTATATTTCAATCAAGAGATCATCAGTGAGATTAAAGTAAGCTTGACAAGTTACAGTAGCAACATCATGATACTGTCAGTTTCAAAACAAGTACAGGTATTATGAACGGCATGTACACAGACTATTTAACTTGTCAATAGATTTTTAAAAATCATAGATTTTTAGGGATAAGTGGGCTATTTATATGTCAGACAAAATACTAGGATATACAGTATCTGTTACAGTCTGCAAACACAGAAATCATGTATATCCAATAGCTACTCCCAAGGGTTTGGTTGTGTTTGCATTATTCAAAGGTTGCGTTTTTCTCCACAAAAACAGACCAGCTCTACTGTCAATATCACCTCTAAAAACTCAATTGTGACCAAGAGGTTTAAAACTTCCCATGCTCCCCTATCTAACCTTTTTTAAATACTTGCTCAAAGGAGGAGAAAAAAAATCTCCCAAACCCAACAGTTATGTAACCAAGGACTGGAGAAAAAACCACAGCATCAAATATTAAAAAATGTATACTCAATTCAAAGGCCATTTTATCACGAGTAGGAAGTAAAACAGCCAGATCCCCTCCACATTTCACAGCATACAATAGCATGGACCTCTACAGAATACAAAGCTTTTTTACATTCATATTGTTGAACACAGTCAGACAAGCGAGCAGTGACTTGGAGAGAATGAGGAAGATACATTGAGACAGTAATTAAATGAAACCCAAGCCAACATCCTGGTACTGGAGGCTGCAGATTCCAAACAACATGAGCCTATATTAAAAACGGTGTAGAGAGAGAAGATACATGCTGCTGCCCCTCAGCTGGGCTTACAGCTAATGGGTGTCAGGTGGCAACAAGACAAACTCAACATTATTTATTATTCAAGCACGAGTATCAGCCTGGTGGATAGATACATCCAAATATGAGTCCAGATTTTTCTCCTCATGAAAAAACACTCTATGTGGTGAATTTGTTATTTTCTTATAACCACATGATGGCTGCTTTTTTTTATTTAAAGGGACTACTTACTTCCTCTGTAGCTTAAGCCAGAATAGTTCCCTAAAAATGTCAGCTAAAGGAACATGATGTAAATGATTATACCAATATGAACATTCAGCACTAAAGGGGATTTTTCCTGTAAAAACATTATTTTCTGAAATCTCACGTCAACTAATATGTGTAACCTATTTTCCCCTCTCTGTATCTCCATCTGTCTCTGATTCATCATTGTCTCCCAACATGCTATCCATCTGGGCATCTGCACTAATGCTGTCATTAAATGCGGGCCTGCAGAAGCCGATTAGTCAGACCTCAGCGGTAATAAGGATCCTTATTGATCCATGGTGTTAGCCCTAATGGCCACTGAAAGGCCTGTGATTCCCTTCATCTGCAGAGCACTTGCTCCTCTTTCAAACTACTACTGGGGGTGAGCGAGCACTTTAAAGCTGACCATACGCAATGTGTCTCTTGGTAGTGTGTGTGTATGTGTGTGCGCGCGATGTGT